AGAGGCCAGACACTGACTAGGAAGGATTCCTTACATTCAGCCAAAAATCTGTGTCCTTATAATTTTGAAAGGAATCCTCCTGTCTCCCTTGAATCTCCTCTTTCCTATGCTAATCAAGTCCTATTGTTCTAGCTCAAGGGCATGAGTGAACTTGAATCTCTTTACCAATCTATTATGATAATTCTTATGATAATAGTAATAATAATAATAATAGGCCATGCTTAGTAAACAATGACTGTGTGCCAGAATTCTTTATCTAAATACTATATGTACCTCAGTTTATTTAATCCTCATAACAACCCTACTAGGTTGACACCACTATAATCTCTATATTGTAAGGAAATAGAGTCATAAGGAATTTATGAAATTTACTAAGGAACCCAATTAGTAAGTGATATGCTTGGGATTTGAGGCCAGGTAGTCTTGTTCTAGGAGTTCTGCTGGCATAGTGCCTAAGGCATTGGACTGCTAACCAGAGGCTTGCAGTTCAAACCCACCAGCCACTCCTTGGAAGGTAGGTTGGACAATCTACTTCCAAAGTGATACCACCTCGGAAACCCAAGGAGGGGTTGGTATGAGTCGGGTCTGACTTGATGGCACATAACAACAACAACACTTCTGTAGAGATACTGCCTCGGAAACCCAAGGAGGGGTTGCTATGAGTCGAAATCAACTGGATGGCAATGAGAATCTTGTTCTTGTTCCCAAGTCAAGCATAGGGTTAATGTACTCAGCTGCTGACCAAAAGGTGAAAGTTTGAGTCTGCCCAGAGTTGCCTTGGAAAAAAGGGCTATGATCTACTGAAAAAAATCAACCATTGAAAATTTTATGGCGCAAACTTCGACCCTGATATACATGGAGTTGCCATAAGTCAGAATTGGCTCCATGGCAACCAGCTAACTGGTAGTCTGGTTCTTAACCACTACATATTACTTCATCACTTGACTTTCAACATTTTTAGGCTTCCTATCAAGCATAATGCCCAGAGAATAGTATTTGATGTTCATAGCAGAGGCCAGAAATACTTGTCACCTTGGGTGGTTGCTATTCCCCAGATAGCAAAATGAGTCACCACACCACTCTCCTGGAGTTGTGCAGGAAACAACATGCACAATTGAATGTAGCAATCCTGCTGTTCATGAGTGAACTTCCCTAGATTCTACTTGGCCTCTGTGTCCATGGTAACAAGAAAGATTTTGCTGAGAGCTGCCAACCGGAGGAGATAGCATCCCTGGAAATGCATGTTTGAGAAGTCTGATTGGGACCAAGTCTGGGGGATTCAGAGGATTCTTGGGGCCTACATCCGTCCACAGTCCCCTTCTGTGGTGTATCTTGACATTGTCCTTAGGTAACGTATCCCTGTATACCCCCTTTCCATTCTTTTCATGAGCCAATCAAGTGCTTGAGGGCCAACAGATGCTTTTGGTAAGCCTTTCCAGCCAGAAGCCCTGTCTCTACACAATTGCTTCTCCCCTTACCCTGAACCGATTTCTGGTGGATGGATGATCTCAGACCACACCCTCAGAGAGGCCAAGGACACATAACTCCAGGATGACTCAGTTCTCTGCATCTCCTAACTCTCTGGGTAGGACAGGCTCTATAAATTCCAGCCACACCATCACCTCCCTCTTCTGGGAACTATGTCTAGATCTGAGGCTTGTCCCAAACTTCCTTACCTCTGGGCACTGATAGCCATATATCCTAGTCATAAGCCTAATGGAAGCAGGCAACTGGGAGCCAATGTTTCTATATGGCCCAGTTGCAAGGGTGTTCTTGTGGCTTTGGGGATGGATAATGGGGACCCGAGTCTTTAAGACTTACTGAAGCTCCACATTAAGAAGCTGATTTCCAAAGCATCAAGGGAAATAGCTCCCAGAATTCTTGGCACAGCATCAACTCAAAGCTTCCTAGGCCAATCTGATTTCAGCACACAGGAATTGGAGGTAAACAAATTATTAGTTAGTTGGAAGAGCTGAGTCTAGAGATAGCCCTGTTCATCTTCCCATTTTGTAGATAAGACAGGTCCAGATGAAATTAATCAATGGTGATAGACATCAGAACAGTCATTAGCTTTGAGTGGGAGTATTGAGGAGCAACAAGGAAACCCCTGGGGATGAGGACATTCTTCTCTATCTTGATGTACATGGTGACTATAGTTTTAAACAGATGTAGAAATTCACTGAGCTACACTTAATATTTGTGCACTTTACTATAAACACTTTAGTAAAAGAGTAAAACAAAACAATAGCCCAGAGAGGGTTAAGGTGACATTGCAAATATGTGTGAAGACCAAACTTAGGAATCTGACTTCCTGATGGCCAGTTCATTGCCCTTGCCCCTACTTCACTGCATTTTTTCTGTCATAGCAACTCAGTGATGGACAATAAACTATGGTAGGTTTTTATCAGAGCAAGAACCCATGGTAAATGAGGCATGAGGTCAAAGCAAGTCAATCTATTGTGGGTTGGGGCTAGAACTTTGAGGACACTTACATGGAACAAGACTTGGGCTTAATAAGTAGGAATAAGATTATTATAGTAATAATAATGCAAACATTTCTTGAGCACTTACAGGTATCAAGCACTATTTTAAATACCTTACATGTGGCATAGTGCCTAAGACATTTGACTGCTAACTAGAAGGTTGGTGGTTCAAACCTACCAGCCACTCTGTGGAAGGAAGACTGGGCAACCTACTTCCATAAAGATTTACTGCCTTGGAAACACAAAAGGGGTCGCTATGAGTTGTAATCAACTCAATGGCAGTGAGGTTTTTTTTTTTTTTAAACATGTATTTAATGCTCATAATAACCTATATGGTAGGAGCTCTGGTGGAGTAGTAGGTAAGGCACTTGACTATTAACTGGAAGGTCAGCACTTCAAACCCACCAACTGCTCCGCAGAAGGAAGACTGGGTAATCTAGTTCCGTAAAGATTAACAGCTTCAGAAATCCAATGGTGGTTGCCATGAGTTGGAAACAACTCTATGGCAGTTAGGGTTTTTTTTTTTTTTTTAAATAACATTATTAATCCACACTTTACAAATAAGAAAATAGGCCCAGGTTTATAAATCTGCCCAAGGTTTTGCAAGTAGAAAGGGTAATGATGAGGTTTGGACCCAGGCAATCTGGCTCCATAATGCATGTTCTTAACTATAACATAGATGGCCTCATATTGAATCATCTGTTGTTGGTGGAAGACTGTTAGTCTCTGCTTAGGCTGATACCACCATCTCAAAGAAGAATCACTCAGCATTTGTCTAGTGTTCCAGATAAGTACTCAACTCTATGGATCACCACTTAGATTTGTTCAAAGCAAATTCGCCTAGCATCAACTGGATTAGGAGGCAGAGAGAGAATTTACAAAAAGACCAAAGCTCTTGTGACATGGTCACTTGATCCACACTCAAGACCAATATGGTTATGTTCTGGGCTGAAACAGAAAATGCAAATTAATGCAGTTTAATAAAAATGAAAACCACAGTGCAATACCACTATCATGCCTGCTCCACATTGGCTATAATTAAGAAAATAGATAATACCAAGTGTTGAGGAGGATGTGGAGCAACTGGAACTCTAATATACTACTGGTGGGAGTGAAAATTGGTACAACCACTTTGAAACACTGTTTAGCCAAGGTCTACTAAAGTTAAACAATTGACTTAACAATTCTGTCTTTATATAGAAATGAGCATATATATGTGCCAAAAGACATGAGCAAGGATGTTCATAGCTGTTTTATTCATAATGGTCCCAAACTGTTAATAATACAAATGTCCATCAATAGTACAGTAGATAATGAGTTATGGTATATTCATAAAATGGAATCCTACATAGTAATGAAAATGAACAAACTACAATTCACAGACATAACTGAGGAAAGAGACCAAAGTGAATATATACTAATTATATAAAGTTTGAAATCAGGCAATAATGTTTTTTTTCTTTATCTGAGCACTGGTTATATGAATGTGCTTCCTCTGTGAAAATTCACTGAGCTGTATGCTTATAAGCTGTGTATTTTCTGTATCTATGTGATACTTCAATAAAATGTTTACATAAAAATAGTCACTGATTAGAAGATGTCACAGCATTGTAATAATAAAGAATGAATTGCTGTAGTATAAGTTGCTGACCTGCAATTGATGTCACAGAAGCTCAGTGCACAGAGATCATAATAGACAATAACCTGAAGTCTTAGCATTCTTACACAAGATAACACAAACATCATCATGTTCTCTAGTCATGTGTTTAGGCAGGTAACAACACTTTTAAACACTAATTTGGAACTGCATGAATATTCATATTTTATATCCAAAAAATATATTTTTATCATGCTGTATTTGTGGAGTTAAGATATGTAAACTCTGAAAATGTTAATTCAGAACAGATCAGTCTATCTTATTCTAGGTCAATGCTTGTCCACTGTACTTTGCTGAATAGACCATTTCTGTGTCCTGGCATCCTCTCTGGGTATCTGAGACCAAGACTATGAATGTGGAATTTTTCAGGTTAACTTATTTTCCTGGTAGCTGCATTTTATTCTCCACGAGAAAGTCCTAATAGCTAGAAAGGAGTCCCAAAGCTATACATTTTGGTCCCAGGTATGATCTATTAAAAGTGCCTGAGGGCTTCTGAAATAAACTCTGAGGGGTCTTTGAGCTATCTTAGTGCTTGTGGAACCTTTGGGTTCCTCCCTCTAGAGGTGTATATGGCTGATAGAACCAGGACTGTGACTTACCCATAACTTCCCCAAAGGAGGTATTCCTCTTTAGAAACTGTCTCCCTTCCTGTTGCCACACCCCATCCTGGCATCCTAGCATCCATTTCCCCAGTTTCCTTCCAAGTAAGGACTTTCCTCATTTGTTTATGAGGATACTTCTTAATGAGCAGCTCCTTGGCCCCTGGACCCAGAGTAGCCATGACATAACTTAGCCATCCTTCCCTACAATAGACACACTCATGTATACACCCTGGCATAGGGCTTTCTCTAAGGACTCACCTGAGGTGTCATCCCATGGCAGATGTACATGATGGGAACATTTTCTGTGTCTGGCCCCTGATCAAGACACAGATCAGTCTTCAGGGAATTCTGCAGCTGAACATCAAAGGAGAGATGGCCACACCAAAGAAAAAGAAACAGATAAAGCAATGCATTAAATCAGGAATAGCAAGCATTTCACTGAGACAGACTATTTCCATTATCAACTCAAGGTCCCTTGAATACTATGGAAAGCAACAAGCACCAGCTTTTGCCTTGCCTTATAGAGCTGAAGAAGACTGGCCTCCTTTGAAGGAGAAACATTCACATCTAGTTAAATAGCAAGCTATGTTTTGAGGTCAGACAGTAAGGGTAAAAATAAAAGATACACACGTGCACACATACACACATAAGGTAATACTAGGCTCTTAACGCCCTCCATTTCCACAGAGGTGGCACAATGGCCTTTAGTGATCCATGGAAATAAGTCTTTGGCTCTGGGTGTAGGGCAAAGTGTGTAATATGTTAGCTGTTTTCAGATCTGGGACATCTTCTGGGACTAGGTCCTCTCTGCCTCCTGAAGATCCAGCTGTGGTTTGGCCATTATTAGCAGGTGAGCAGTCTCCAGAACGGGAGGTCCGGTAGAAGAATAAGAGAGGAGGTATTCCTCACCCTTCACTACAAGCCCATGGACCCATACTCTTGGCAATCAACAGAACATGTCTAGGTAAGAATGCCAATATTCAACTTCCCCCTTCTGGTTAAGTTCATTCTTAGTTCTTGGGAAGGACAGCCTATGGTGCACAGAGTCCTGTTCACTAGTCAGCTGAGTAGACAAGGGTGGGTGCCTGTACACAATTTATACTGAGTAATTAATTAACTTTATCTTCCTGTGTCCCCTCCATCCTTCTCTTTCTGGATTGACCATCTCATCATTCTCTCATTCTGTCTTAGGAATCTCAATGAGAGAACTAGAGACTGTGGTCAATGGGTAGTGGTCATGAAGCAGGGGGGACTGAAGCAGGCTTCCAGGCTTCTGGATTTTTTTTGTTTCGTTTTGTTTTCCATTTAGCCAAGCTGAGACAAAGTTTTCAGCCACCAGACCAAGTTTCTCTTTTCTATCTTGCCTCCTCCATGCCCCTTGCTTAGCTGTTTTGTTAGTTTAACTTACAGGGAGATACCAAGCATTCCAGTAGACCAATGCCAAAGTGGTAACCAGCTCAGACCAGCTTTGGCCAATGAATATGCACACTGAGAGAAATGGAATGAAGTCACTTAGAACTAACATCTCCCCTCTGCCTGAGCCCAGATCAGCTTATGACAGGAAGTCGCTGTAATTCATCTAGCATGGCATGCAAGTGCATCGGATTAAAAATGTCCTTTTAAACCAAGGTGAAAGAGACTTCAATCAATCTCCCACTAATTTACAATCAAATTCCTGGAATTTTTATGAATATGTGTAACTTCCCCTTCTTTAGCCCCATTAAAGTCATACCCTAACCCCCACTCCCAACCCCCACTCAGGGAGACAGATTTGGGTGCACTTCCCCTGGCTCCTACTAAGCACTTAGTAATAAAACCAACGTTCTATTTCATGAAAACCTGGTGTGTTCTTTTTCCTGGCCTTCCACTGCACTGGGCAGGGACCCACTTTGGTCCAGCTTCAGTTACTAGAACTGTGAAATCATTTCTATTGGAGGTGAGGACCTGTTGAACCATGTGGAAGCAGAGAAGCCAGTTGTGATTAAGGGGAGATTAAGCAGGAGGCAGACAGACGTAGAGATGAGAGAGATCACTCTGTCCCAGCTGTGGCTCCAGTGGCTTCCCAGCTGAGTACCCTCATCCATGCATACTTCAGTTTCTGCAACCAGAGAGCCTGGGGTATACACCTTTTACCCTTCTTAACCTGAGCTGGCTGAAATGGACTTCCCTCCTTGACAATCAAAACAGCTTTGTTTAGAACAGAAGGATAGGGAACAGGGAAGACAAGGGCAATGGATTGCAAGTGGGTCATCTACCTGGAGGAGGGCCCATAGACTAGAGATGGACAGTGCCTGAGTTTTTGTAGTTTTGATGTCTTGTGGCAAGTGTGGAATGAACTCAATTAAGGAGGATGGAATAGAACAGATAACCAGAGGCATGTGTGTGCCCTGTGCATATCCTGCTCTCAACAGGGGACAAGGAACAGAGTCAAATTCCTAAACTTCTTTACCTCTACTAAGTGAGAGCAGCTTAATCCCAAACTTGCAGTTTAGAGAGTCTAAGGAAATCTCCCCAGGCAGGAGCCCCAGAAACATCTATGCTGCAAATCCTCCAATGTAAACTGCCTATGTGACTTGCCTGTGTGGGAGGAGCACACTCTGAGCTTCTCCTGCTGAGGGCAAAGGGGTGGGTGTCATATCTAAAGCCAAGCATGGTAGTCCACTAGTGAGACCTGCTGTTATTGCAAAGAGAAATAGCCAGAGGGCCCTGATGTCAGGTTTAGCTTTCCCCTGGGTTCTTAAAGCTTGCCTCTGGGTGAGGGGGTGGTTGCTTTTTGATAAGTGCCCCTTGGCTGTATGTCACCTCTCTCCCAAGAAGCAGGTGGCCTGTTGAAGTGGTCTCAAGACATATAGACTGTGATGGAATTCTGGTTCCACCTGTGAAGTCTTGGACAAAGCAATAACTCCTCTCTGTCTGTTTTCTTCTCTCTAAAATGGGGATAATCATACTGCCAATCTCATAGGGCTGTTACAAGGATTAAGTGAAACAATACTTACTAGTGCTTAATGCAGGGCCTGCCAAATAGCAAATGAGCAATAATTGTTAGCTGCTATTATTACTGCTATAACGTTCCTGAGAGCCATTCAGGGAAACTGGCTTTATAAAAGTAGCTCCGTGCCAGGTACCAAGTGAAATGTGTTCCAGTGCATTATCTCATCTCATCCTCAAAGTAACCCTGACAGGTGGGTAATATTATCTCTTTGAAGGATGAAAGAACTGTGGTGTACTAATAGGCTCCATCTCACCTTCCTATTTGTAACGCTACTCTCACTGTGAGGAGGCTTCTTCATGCTGCTTTGGCCTTTCTTTGCTTGACTAAATCTGCCTCTTAATCCTTTTCCTTAGGGCCTCAGCTTATCTTTCTGTTTAGAAGCCTTCATTTACTCAAGCCTGGGTGTAAGACCTGCTCTATGCTTCACTATAACAAACAAAAACCAAACTCACTGCCATTGAGTTTGTTCCGACTCATAGCAATCTCTCCTTGGGTTTCCGAGGCAGTATCTCTATGGAAGTAGATTGCCCAGTCTTCTGAGGAGTGGCTGGGGGTGTTGAACTACCAGCCTTCTGGTTAGCAGTCAAATGCCTTACGTACTATACCATCAGAGCTCTGATGCTTCACTAGCACCCTCCATTTCTCTTATTACAGCACTTAAAAAAAGAAAAAAAAAAAAAAACAAACTAGTTGCTGCCAAGTTGATTCTAACTCATGGTGACCTCATCGGTGTCAGAATGGAACTGTGCTCCACAGGGTTTTCAATGGCTGATTTTTCAGAGGTCGATCACCAGGCTTTTCATGTAGATACTTTCATTTATTTTATTGTTGTTATTTATAATATACACAGCAAACATACACCAATTCAACAGTTTCTACATGTACCATTTAGTGACACTGATTACATTCCTTGAGTTGTGCAACCATTGTCACCCTCCTTTCCTGAGTTGTTTCTCCATCATTAACACAGACTTACTGTACCCTAAGGTTCCTATCTAATCTTTTGAGTTTCTGTTATCAATATGACCCCATATAGGCAGTTATTTAAAAAACATAATGATTAAGGCAGACCTTTTTTACTTGTTGAGCTGATCTATTGTTTGACTTTAAGAAGACTTTGGGGGATTTTTTTGGTTTAAGTTTTAAAGATTCTCAGGGCAATAGTTAAGGGGTTCATCCAACCTTCATGGGTCCAGGAAGTCTGGAGTCCATAAGAATTTGAAATTCTGTTCTACATTTTCTCCCTTTTGATCAGGATTTGTCTATGAAATCTTTGACCAAAATGTTCAGTAATGGTAGCCAAGCACCATCTAGTTCTAAAATAGTTCTAAAATGGGGATAATCATACTTGTCACCTAGTGACAAAGGCAATTAGGCACACATTCCATATCCTCCTCTTATTCCTGACTCTCCTTTTTCCTCTGTTGATCCAGGTGAACAGAGATCAACTGTTGTGCTTTGGATGGTCATTTGCAAACTTTTAAGGCCCCAGACATTGCACATTGAACTAGGAGGTGGAACAAAAGCACTAAATATATTATTAGGCCAATTTCTGGATCCTGCATCTGACTCATCATCCTCCGACCTCTAGTTCTTGGGACATGAGCCAGCAGCCTGCTGTTTGACCTGCTGATTTTAGGTTAACAACCTCTGCAACCACATGAGTCAGGAGAAGCCTCCAGCCTGATGCCTAACCCATGGATTTGGTACTTGCCAGCCTTCACAGCTGTGTGAGCCATTTCATTACAATAAATTTCTCTCTCTCTCTGTCTCTCTCTCTTTCTCTGTCTCTCTGTCTCTGTCTCTGTCTCTCTCTCTCTTTCCAATATACGTAACAAGTAAGAAGGAAAGAGCCCCCAGGCAGGAAGCGGGAGCCAAGGCCGATGGCTGGAACAGGTAGGGGGAAGGCCAGGAAGTGAGTGGATAGGTTGGAACAGCTAAGGGAGATGAACTTGTCTGTCAGTTTGTTGTACTGTGGTGGCTTGCATGTTGCTGTGAGGCTGGAGGCTGTACCAGCAGGGTTGCCCATGGTGGATGGGTTTTAGCAGAGCTTCCAGACTGAGACAGACTTGGAAGAAGGAAGAGAATATCCACTTCTCAAAACATTGGCCAGTGAAAACCTTATGAATAGTAGTGAAACACTATTTGATATATTACAGGACAATTTTATGAATAGCCCTGAAACATTGTCTGATACAAAGCAGAAAGATGAGCCCCTCGTCAGAAGGCACTCAAAATATGACTGGGAAAGGGCTGCCTCATCAGAGTAGAGCCAACCTTAATTATATGAATAAAGTAGAGCTTTCAGGACCTCCATTTGCTGATGTGGCATGACTGAGCATGAGAAGAAATAGCTGCAAGC